GAGCAGGGAGCCCGATGCGGGACTCGATCCCAGGACCCTGGGATCATGACCCAAGCCGAAGGCAGACGCCCAACGACTGAGCCACCCAGGCGCCCCCCCGTTTCTTTTTCTTTATGCCCCGATTATCTGAGGCTTCGCCATCTCACTGCCCACCATTACCCCAGCCCTTAGCACGCCTGCGTGCCTGAATAAATTAGTGATGGCAGCCATCACCTCATCCCCTCCTCCCCCAATGGTTGGACCATCACGGAATGCAAAGGAGTTTTCTTTTACACGTGGACAACCTAGAAGGAGTAGGGAGCAGTGGCCGAGGGTCACCTGTCACTATTCTGACACTTCATCACGATGACAAGTCAGACCAGCTCAAAAGCTGTAGGCACTCCAATCTGGGGGGGGCCCCAAAACTCCAGTCACTGAAACTGTGGGGTTGCAACGTGGCAGAGGGGACAAAGAGGCTGGAGGGAGTCTGTTCAGGTGACCATGGGGTCAAGCATCCACTCTGTCGTTGGTGGCTCCACTCTGCTGTAGACATCAGGGATGACCATGGGCCCTGGGACTGACCGGGATTTCCTGGACAGTGACCACAGTCTCCCAGCAAGGAATCGCCCAACTAGTGGTAACCGAAAGCATCTCCAAGTCATTGCCAAATGTCCCCTGGGAGGCGAACTCATCCCAGGTCAGAGCACTACTTTAATAAAACAATTCCATCAGGCAGGGGTGTGTTAGCCCATTTTTTTTGGGTGCCAAAGACAGATCAGAGGACTTAAGTAACTTGCAAAGGGGTCACCCCAATGATGCTGCCACCTCCAAGGCACGTGGGTGCTGTCCCCCCCTGCTTCCAGCCACCACCTGATCCCTGGCACAGTTTCATCATTTGGCAGATACTTGGCATGCAGCTCCCATGTGCCCAGCAGCGTTCTGTTCACTCGGTCAGCGTCACTGATACTTGGCATAGGCAGGATGGGAGGGAAAGAGCTGGAAGAGACAGTGTCCCCTTGCTGCTGTGACAACCTACAACTTAGTGGCTTCTCGGTCAGAAATCCAAGTTCAGGGGCGCCCGGGTGGCCCAGTCAGTGAAGCGACTGTCTTCGGCTCGGGTCGTGATCCCGGGGTCCTGGGATCGAGCCCCGCATTGGGCTCCCTGCTCCGTGGAGAGCCTGCTTCTCCCTCTGCTTGTGCTCTCTCTCTCTCTCTCTGACAAATAAATAAATAAAATCTTAAAAAGAAAAAAAAAAAAGAAAGAAAGAAGGAAAGCCAAGTTCAGTTCCACTCGTCTAAAATCAAGATGTCAGCAGCCCTGTGTTCCTTAGGAAGGCTGCAAAGGAGAATCCATCTTTTCTTTTCCACCTTCTAGAAGCTGCTGTCATTCCTTGGCTTGTGGCTCTTTCCTCCTTCAAAACCAGCAGCGTAGCATCTCTTCTCCTCCCTGACCTCTGCTTCCGGTTTTATATCTTCTCTCTCTGACTCCCGTCTTCCTGCCTCCCTCTTACAAGGACCCTGGTGATCACATTAGGCCCTCTTGGATAATCCAAGCTAATCTCTCCCATCTCAAGATCCTTAATCACATCCGCAAAGACCCTTTGGCACGTACAGTAACATTCATAGGTCCTAGGGTTTAGAATGTGGCTATCTTTGGGGGCCATTCATTCCACCAACAGCAATCTGCCCTCCGCTCCCAAAGATCCATGTCCATCCCACATATAAAACACATCTATTCCATCCCAAGCTTCCCCATATCTCAACCCGTTACAATATTAAGTCCAGAATATCATCTGTATCTCACCTGCTCAAAACTTCCAAATCTTATCATCTGCATCATCTGAATTAGGTCTGGGTAGGACTCCAGGTAGAACCCCTCTGAGAGCAAAAGCCTCTCCATCTGCGGGCTCGTGAAACTAGAAGACAAGTTATCTGCTCCCAAGTACAATGGTGGGTCAGGCCCAGGGTCACGATGACAGACATTCCCATTACATCAGGGACAAAATGAAAGGAAAAGGGAGACACCAAACCCAAGCAGTTTTGAAATCCCAACTGGGCAAAGCCCATTGGGTTTCAAGGCCATGGAGTAATCCTCTGTGGCAGGGCTCCGGCCTCTGGGCCCATGGCCCCACCCTTGGAGCCATCCTTCCTCTCTCATGGAGGGTGGCACGTGATCGCAGCCGAGTACCATCCTGCTTCCTGATTGTAGAATTTGGGGAGGACGACAGCCTTCTTTTATTTTGTCCTTCCTCTCTCCTTTCTGGTGCAAGCAGGCAACTTTTCACATCCTCAAAAATCACGTGGTCTCCTACGTACACTTCTTGGATTCCCTCCATTAGACAAGAGGTTCCTTCTCAGATCTTTCCTGGATAATCTTATCTCTGTGCCTGGCGTCTGCTGGGATGTCGAAGAGGATCCATGAGTCCCAGGTCTAGTGTCTTCAGAGAACCCTCCATGTGGTTGAATTCTCTAAACTTTGGATCCTTCTCAAGTACTAGCAAAGGTTGTCCAGCCACGCCTCGGGTTTCTCTCCAGAGCACGCTCTTCTGAGCGCAAATCTCTGCTTGTTAGCATCTTTTGCGACTGGATCGGCCGAGCGTTTCCCAAATCATCAGATTTCAGTTCCAAGTTCCATTTATCACAGAACGATAGGCATAGCCCAGCTAAGCTCCTGCCACTATATCATGGGATCCCCTCTCTAGTTTCCATAACATGTTCCTTGTTTCCTGAGCCCCCACAGGCCAACACCTATGGTATCCATATTTCTACCATCAGGTCTTTTTTAGGACGATTTATCTAGAATGATCAAAGTATTATAGTGCCTCTCCGCTCTTCATGAGCTGTCACTGATTCACAAGGTCCAGGGGTTAGGACACGGACAGCACGGCAACTGTCAAGTTTACTGGTCAACCACCAATATCAAGCAAGTGACATTGATTGCTTCTCATTTTCTCAGAGCTGTGTTAGGGAGCACGAGCTGTTGGAGAAGTATAGCTAGGCTGACCAAACACACTGGCTTGCCCAGGTAGTCCAGTTGGCATTTTCTTGTCCCAGGGTAAACAGACTAGTGCCCATTTTCCCTTTCAAAAGTGTCCTGGCTTCAGTGATTAATTTTCTGGTCACTCCAAGTGTAGATCTTAATGCCTGTCCTTCAGATTGTAAATCTATCTCATGGAGATGAAACACAGATTGAAAAAAAATTATCAAGCAGCTCTGGTTAAGTGCTAAATCTTATGACATCTTAGGTGCTTCTAAACATCCTTCGATACATAGGACAGCTTCCCCCCACAACTATCTGCCAGTCATTGTACCATCTGGAATTTCAAGGGCATTTGGAGGCCTTTGGGATTTCATATTCAGAGTGGGGTCCCTGGACCAGCAGCATTAACATCACCTTGTTAGAAGTGCACATTGTCAAGCCTTGTCCAGGACCCCCTGAATCAGAAACTCTGGGTGGTGGGACCCCATGATCTGTTTAAACAAGCCCCCAGACCAAAACATCTGTAACACACAGACGTGCACACACACACACACACACACACACACTCTTAGTGACATCCCAGTTGTGTGGCCACAGTTCATACTATAAATACCACTCTGCTAGAGAGTTGCTCCTTTGTCCCTGTCTTTGTTTTCTCGTCTTCAAAGCGATGACAACCCCATGTGTCGAGGTGATCTTGGTAAATGTTCGTTTGCCGGGAATAGTTCCTTGGTTTTAATGATCTATTTTCAGAGGAGTTTTTCTCAAAGTAACATATTTCATTTTTTGCTTCTCTTCCTGACTTTTGGCAGGAGCTAAGAAAAAGCCTGGAACTTAGTGTAAATCTACAGAGGAAACAAAGAGATTGTTCCAGTGATGAGTATGACTCTATCGAAGAAGAGGTACTCTCTGAGCCCGAGCCCGAGGAGCAGGTGCCGGTGGGCCACCCCAGAGAGGACCCCCCTCTTTGCAGTGGGGACTCCGTGCAGAAGGATGTTCCTGAGGACCAGGAGATGAAAGGGCACCCTCCCCAGGACCCAGACCCCCTCGTGGTGCTGGAATTTAACCCAGCTTCCAAGAGTGAGTCTTGTCTTATGTGGGCATGTCTTTGCCTTTGGTGTGTCTGGGTCTAAGAACAGGACTTGAATTTCTAGCAGTGCTTGGGGTTCAGCTTTGGGGAGACATGCCCACAGGCCAGGGAGATATGTCAGGTCTCTGCTGATTGTGAGAAGCCAAGGCTTCCAAAGACCTACAGATGACCCGGAAATTTCAGATGGTAGGTGTCTGGTGGATGGTTTGGGGGGTCTATCCTGTGCCTTGTAGGATGTGTGCAGGATCTGCATGCCAACTGGCTAATACATCTGGCTTAAGCAAAAGGGATTATATTGGCTTGGATAACTGAGGAACTGTCAAGGACTCTCCCCTCCCCTCCTTCCCCCTTCCCTTCTCCTTCCCTTCTCTCTTATCTCTGCCTTCCTTTGTCTTGGTACAAGACATTGGTACAAGACCCATTCACAGGTGGGCTCTCCACATACAGACACAGAATTGAGACATTGGCTTTATGCCTCCATCAGAAACTGGATTTTTCTTCCTCAAAGCTCCAGCAAAGGTCCCAGGCCTGGCTCTTGAACCCACACTGGGTCACATCTCAGAACTTGTCACTGTGGCTCTGATTGACATGGTCCAGCCCATAAGGCTCTGAGTGTGGTTATTGCCGCCCAAACCACGTGGACTGATAGTAGTTTCCAAAGGAAAAATCGAGGTGAATCTGAAGAAGAAGGAAAGCGTGCTGGGCAGGCAGAAATAGCAGCTGTTCGCCAAAGGAGGTTTTCCAGAAAAGACCCTGGAAAGGAGAGTAAAGAAAGCAATTGAGGAGGGGCAGGGAGGGGCCAACCTGCCACAGTCCCCATGCCCAGTCCTGGGTTGGCTTGGTCTCTGCCTGCCCTTCCCTCTCCGTTCCAAGCACATCCTCCTCAAAGAGGTATGTGCCATACTTTCTGAACCAAATATCGAGGCCAACCAGCTGGGAAGCATGACTGAGCCCAAGGGAAGAGAAATGAGGGAATGTCTGAAATCAGGCTGAGTGTATTAGTCTGCTCAGGCTGTGTAACAAAGTACCACAGACTAGGGGGGAGCTTCAACAGCAATGGAAATGTATTTCCTTCTAGTTCCAGAGGCTGCAAGTCCAAGGTCGGGGTGTTAGCAGGTTGTTTCCTTCTTGGGCCTCTCTCCGTGGCTTGTCCCTGGGTGTCTTCCATCTGTGTGGGTCTGTGTGTCCTAATCTCCTCTTCTCACAAGGACACCTGGCAGACTGGATTAGTGCCCACCCTAATTGACTCCTTTTACCCTAATTACCTCTTTAGAGACCCTGTCTCCAAATACAGTCACATTCTGAGGTACTGGGGATTAGACTTGAACATGCGAATTTGGGGGAAAGGGGGTGGGGCGGGATATAATAACAGGCAGCTCTGGAAACTGCACACCTGGTGGTCAGTGCCCCCAGAGAAGAGAACATTTGTCCCTCAGACGCTGTGTTCTCTCGCCTTCAAACCTTCGCTTGGGCTGTTCCCTCTGTCCAGGTGCCCACATCTCCTCTCCTCTCCACTCTGAACCCTGAAACCTGGCTCCCTGCTTTCCCCTCAAGACTCAGCTTAGGGGCGGCTTCCTGCAAGAAGCCTCCTTTGCCCTCCCAGCTCAGCCAGGTGGGTTGGTACCTCCTCTGCACCCAGAGCATCATCATGGCACTGGTCTTGCCATGGATTCCGGTTGTCTTGCTCCCCCTCTGGCCTGTGAGCTCTGCCAGGGCCCAGAACCGTGCTGAATAAATAATAATAAATAAATAATAACAATTGCCAGCATTTACTGAATTCTTACTAACATGTACCAAGCGCTACTCCGAGGGCTTAGCATCTATAATCCTTACCACAACGCCAAGGCAAGCCCTGTCAAATGTCCTTGCTTCATAGCTGGGGACCCTGGGGAACAGAGAGGGCAGATAACTTGCCCAAGGTCACACAGCTAGGGAGGGGCAGAGTGGGATTGAATTTGCCAGGAGTCTGAGCCCAGAGCCTGGGCCCTTAATCACTAGGCTGAGTACATAAACCAGATCAAGTTACAAAGCAGTGGCTGGGCTTTGAGGAACCAGTGAGTAACGCCACCCCACTCTGTCTTCTCTCCTAATTGAAACAAATGAGAGATGGGCTTGGGAATCTGATAGGAGAGCAAATGTTCGCCTTTCCAACTGAGAAGAGCTAGCTTGCTGGCTACTCGGTGCTGCCCCTCTGAACTAGGCAGACCCCCGGCCCCAGATGCTGGCCGAGCTGGGCCACTGATCGCTTCAGTGTGGTGGCAGATGGCCTTGTGCCCTGAGGGCAACCCCGCCGGAGGAGGAAGGGGAGTGGCTGGATTGCGCTTTGATGGCTTCCTGCCACCAGCCTCCCCAACCTCCCCACCTCCCGTCACATCCCCTGTGTCCTCCCTGTGAGTGAGGGCCAGTGCGTGAGTGACACAAAGAAGGGCAGAAGGTAATGCAAGGAGGGGCGCCTGGGTGGCTCAGTGGGTTAAACATCTGACTCTTGATTTCAGCTCAGGTCATGATCTCAGGGTCGTGAGAACGAACCCCAAGTCAGGCTCCATGCTGGGTGTGGAGCCTGCTTAAGATTCTCTCCCTTTCCCCTGCCCCTCCCCCCCCACCGCTCATGTGCATGCTCTCTCTCTCTCTTTCTCTCTCTCTCGATCGCTCGCTTGCTTGCTCAAAAAAAAAGGAATTCAGGGAGGAGGAGGGAATGGTACCGCCAAGAGTCTTAAATATCGTGAAGACTATAAAACAGGACACTGGTTGGGGGACGGGGCTCAGAGAAGGACCCTGTGAGCTAGAGTGGTCAGAGAAGCCTTCTCAGGAGCTGATGGTGAAGCTGGGACAGGAATGAAGAAGAAGCAGCTGTGGGAACAGCATCCCAGGGGCAGGGAGTAGCAAGCGCAAAGGGCTCGAAGAGGGAGCGAGCTTGGTGTAGGTAGGGACAGGGAAAGGGCCAGTGTGGCCGGAGCCAAGTGAGCATGTGGGAAGTGTTGTACATGATGAGGCTGGTAGGTGATCCCAGGCCACTTTCCATGAAGACTCAAGGGTTCTAGGCTAGCAGCAAGGGTCTGGATCCTTTGGTGCCCTAGAAAATATCCTTGTGTAGACTTGCAAACAAGGAGGGCCATCTTATGCAGAGGAGGGGGAGGTAGATGCAGAGAAGGTGGTTCAGGGCAGGGCTCCAGGTCAGGCGGGCCTGGTCAAATCTCAACTCTGGGACTTCAGACAAACAGCTTGAAACTCAGAGCCCTACTCTATAATAGTATGTATTAGTTTTCTGTTGCTGCTATAACAAATGATGACTAACTCGGTGACTTAAAACAGCATACATTTATTATCTTACGGTTCTGCAGGCCAGAGGTGGGACGCGAGGCTCACTGGGCTAAACTCAGAGTGTCAGCAGGGCTGTGATCCTTCTGGAGGCTCTAGGGGAAAATTTCTCTCACCTTTTCCAGCTTCTAGAGGTTTCCCCATTCCTTGGCTCACGGCCCCTCCCTCCACCTACAGAGCCAGCAACCTTGGGCCTCTCTGCGCCTTTCTCCCAGAGTCCCCTCTCCCTCTGGCCCTCCTTCTGCCTCCCTCCTCCCTCTGCACATGTGTGGGTGTGTTTTATTTCGGTCAAGTACACCTGTTGTATTTTACCATTTTCACCATTGTTTAAGAGCGCTGCTTGGTGTTACTAAGTACAGTCACGCCACTGTGTAACCATCCAAAACTTCCTCATCATCCCAAACTGAAACTCTGACCCTCTTCCACTTTTAAGGACCTTTGTGGATTACACTGGATCCACTGGGATAATCCAAGATAATCTCCCTGGTTTAAGGTTAGCTGATGAGCACTGGGGATTCCCCCGCTGCCTTGTGACTTTGTGGTAGGCAGTCTTTGGGCGGGCCATTATTCAGCCTCCCACTTGCCCCCTGGGATGGCTGGGGAGGTGACTGAGATGGGGTGGGCCAGGGACCTGAGCCAGCGCCAGAGCGCTCCAGAGGTCAAACCCCGTCGGTGCTGGTTGTCACTCTTTGTAGCAGCAGCAGATCTTCAGCACGTAGGGAGCCAGTCTTGTGGTCATTTGCCCCCCTCCATTCTCTGTCTTGTCCCATTGGACATAGCGGGTCTTGGATGTCATCCCTTGGGTCCTGCATTTCAGGCCAGCCAGGGAGCAGCTGCTTCAGGAAGTATATAGAGAAACACACGCACGTCCTTTGTAAAGCCAAGAGGGGATGGTGGAGAGGTTGGTGCAACTCTGACCCGATACAAGCCCCCAGCCTCCGTCCTGAGCTCCCAAGAATCCCACAGAGCCCTGGATTCTGGGACTCCTTCTCCTCTGGGCCCCCCAGAGGCCCCCAGGATTGCTCTGCTGGAAGTCCTTTCCCATTGCTCTCCCAGCAGGTGGCTCCCAGGGTTGCTGCCTTGCCGGGCCAGGAGGTCTGCACGCAGTGACCTTCACCGTTCTCCCCGCCTGCAGAGTCCATTCTGCTTAGCCACCCCAGCCTCGCTGCCAGCAGGGCTGCTCTTCGGCCTGGCAGTCCTGAGCGTGTCCCCCTCCTGCTCTTAAACCTGTGCTGGCCAGAGCCCTCGCGCCATTTTCCCTGTGCTTGAGCCATTTGCAAACCTTCTGAAGTCACATTTTTTTTTTTTTTGCCACCTCCACAAACCTCCTGTGCTATTTCTTAGCTGTTGTTTAAACAAACACCTTTCTTTTTTTTTTCTCCCTCTCTCTCAATTTCTCTCCCCACTGCCCTTCCTTTCTCTTTCTTTTCTTTAATAATTCTAGGATTGTTCTAAGCAATACTGTCCGTGAAGTCAAGGGTTCGATGGGCCGGTTACATGTTTTTCCATGCACATTCGGTTATGTAACTGCTTAAAAACCATTTGCCCACACGGCATCTAGCGTCATCTCCCGTTCCACCCGTGGTCCAGGCACCCCACTTCGGGAGATGTCGACTCGACAGCATAGCCTGCGGGCCCTTCACTGTCTGGCTCCAGTCACCCCCTCGGGTCCCAGCCGCTCACCTGCCACATAACCTTCCAGCTGCCAAGCCTTCGTACATGCTCTTCCCTGTGTCTGGAATGCCTTATCTTGGTGCCTCTGGTAACATCCTGGTCACCTGTAAGGGCCCTCCACACTGTCTCCTGCACTCCCACCAGCTACATCCTTCAGGCTGCATGCTCCTCCATGCCCCTGGTACTGGAACCTTCTTCCATCTCAGCCCTCCCCTCTTAGCCCTTCCACCATCTTTTCCTCGGCTAGGCTGTGAATGCCTCAGGGGCAGCAAGTGTTTTACCCTACTCTTTCCACCCCAGGATGTCCTTGGTGGCACATTATTTTATGTACCACACTGCCAATTAAACCCAGAACCTCAGCAATGGAAGACTCCACCCTGCTCAGAAATGTTAACATCTGAAAACCTGTACATATCATAGAATATTTCATTTGTTTGCCAAAGTGTGCTGCGTTATTCACATCTCTGATCCCAAACTAGCATGGTGCCTGGCATGAGTAGGGGTTCAACAAATATCTGTTGAATGAATAAGTGAACGAACCGACAGATACCTAAGCAGCATGCCCCAAATTTGCTGGCGTTCTGTGTCTAACATCTAAACCCTTGTTTTCCTACAGGTAATAAAAAGGAAAGGAATTTGTCTGCTAAGCGGAAGGACAACGCTGAGGTTTTCATTCCCAGCAGACCCAAACTGAACTTGAACCCCCAGTCCTCTGCTGTGTTCCCAGACCAGGAGAAGGCATGCTCAAGTAAGAGTTCTGGCGGCCCCTGAGCAGGACTGGGGCTGGGTCCCTCCCAGTGGGATGCTGTGATGGAGGAGTCCTTGCTTGTTACCCTCTTCGTCAAGGCCTAAGCTCACCTTTCACAAATGTATTGTTAGTCAAGGTCTCCAGAGAAACAGAACCAATAGAAGTGTGTGTGTGTGTCTGTGTGTGTGTGTGTGTGTGTGTGTAATTCCAGTCTACAGGATGGATCAGCAGGTTGGAGACCCAGAAAGAGCCAGTGTTCCAGTACGAAGGCCATACATACTGGAAGGGCCAATGTTGCAGAGGAAGTCCAGAGGTAGTCTTCTGGAGAATTCTCTCATTGAGAGAGGGTCAGTCTTTTTGTTCTATTCAGTCCTTCAACTGATTGGATGAGGCCCACCCCCATTCCAGATGGTAATCTGCTTTATTCGCCAATGAAAATGTTAATCTCATCCAAATACACCTCTTGGAAACACCCAGAATAGTGTTTAACCAAATATCTGGGCTCCCTGTGGCCCAGTCAAATGGACACATGACATCAACCATCACGGTGCCTTTCTCATACTGCAACCAAGATGTGGTTATAATTGAAAACCTATTTTAGTTTTGGTTTTACTTTTTAATTTTGTTTTTACTCTTAAATTAATTTGTTTACTTAATATGGATAATGTCGCATGCAAATGGTACTACATTCTAAAAGTACAAGAGTTGATGGTGAAGTTGGTCTGTTGCTCTTCTAATGAAACGAGACGTTACGTTGATTACTTACCGTGAGCCGGCCACCGCTGTCAGCTTTTAGTCCTCTCACTTATAAGTAAATGATAATCCTTATACATAGCCTTTGAGGTAGGTCCAGGGATTGTCCCCATTTCACAGATGAGGAGCTGCGGTCCAGAGCAGGTGACTCACGTGGCTGGAAAGTGGCCGATGTAGGCCCCAAACCCTGGTGGAGAGACTCCATGCTGTGTCCTGATCAGCAGACTACACGCACTGGAGGCTGTCGGTGAATCCTTGCAGCCTCAAGCCCTGGGTCAGATCCAGGGGCAGAGTGTGCCTGGGGAAGCCACTTGCCTCTGGGTTTGCCCCCCCAAAACAAAGCACCTCAGAGAGTTCAAGGCATCCTGCTATCCCAAGAATTTGGAAGCCTGGGGTGTCCTGGGCAAATATCCAGCCCCAGCCAGCCAGCCTTGTTAGACAAGCAGTCCGTCGGAGCCAGGGGCCCTGACCTCTGTGGCTGGCATCCCACCCGTGTCTCCTGGGAGCTAGAGGGACTGAGGCCTGGGCTCAAAGGCAGATGGAAGGAGAAGTAGCAGAATCAGCCATCATTTACCGAGCGCTAGCTCTAGCTGTGTAAACGTTGTCTCTGGAATCCCCCAGCCTCGGGCTCCGAGGTAAGGATTTGAGAATGAGTCCTTTATTTGGGAGGCGGTCCCTGGTTAGCAGCAGTAAAGAGCTTTATCACCAAGCAAGTTCATGGGCAAGCGGAGCGCCTCCTGGCTGGGGCGTTCTGGGGGCCGGTGCTGAGCACAAGTGTGTATCCTCTGCTCCCCACCCCAGGGCAAGGGAACTAGGCTCTTCCATACCCCTCCCTGGTGCCAGTGGAGCCCAGAGCCAGAGCTGCGGGCAGAGGTTTGGCTGACGGGCTGTGGGCAGGGCAGGACCCGGGCATTATCTGATTAATTCTTACCACAACCCAAACTCCAACCGAAGGAAAGGACACACGAATTTTAGGTAGCAAGTGATTTTATTTTATTTTTTTTTAAGATTATTTATTTGAGAGAGAGAGAGAGCAGAGTGTTCAAGAACACAAGTGGAGGGGGAGGGACGGAGGGAGCAGGAGAAGCAGGCTCCGCTCTGAGCAGGGAACCCGATGCCGGGCTCAATCCCAGGATCATGACCTGAGCCAAAAGCAGATGCTTAACCGACTGAGCCACCCAGGGGCCCTAGGTAGCAAGTGATTTTTAAAAAGTGCCTTTAAGGGAAAGAGTCCGAATTAACCCACGTAACTAAAAAGTTTAGGTGGTGGGATCTTAGGCACAGCTGGATCCAGTGATTAAAATCAGCAGTCTTCCTCTGCCCATCTCCCACTCCAACAGTCTCTGTGCCCTTTGTTCTTAAGCGGGCTCTTAGGGGTGGGGGGATGGGCACCCGTGGCCCTGGGCTTGCAGCCCCCAGCCCAGCCGCCCTGGCAGAAAGCAAGCCTGACCACCTGCTGTAAGTCCTGCCCGTGCACCTACTAGCTCTGTGAGCTCAGGCAAGTTACTTAACCTCTCTGGGCCTCATTCGTCCATCTGCCCAGCAGGGATAAGAACGATACCCTCCTCCGAGGGGTGCTATCAGGATAAAAGGGCTGGAGAGAGGCTCACCTGGCTCAGAGCAGGTGCTCGGCTGGGTCAGCTGGCACCGTCCGCACCAATTCCAGCAAAGCCTCGGAGCTGCTGTTATTCCCGGCTTAAGTCAGGGGTGCTTCCGGGAAGGAGACGGGTGCTGTCAGCAGAGACAGTGGGCTCCAGGCAGCAAAATCCAGGAGATCCCTGTGGATACCGCTGCCCCCTTCTCCCATTTCACAGATGAGGAAACCAAGGTTGAGGACATGGAAGTTACCCACCGAGAGTTAACAGGAAGGACGGCGAAGCCAGGATTCACACCCAGGCTCCAAGGCCCACGCTCTGGGGTGCCGGGCCCGGCTGCTTCCCCCCAGGGCTGGCTGGTCACAGAGGCGGCTTTGGAGGCACCGGGGCGGGGGTGCTGGCCCTGACAAGCCTGGTGGTGACTCGGGCAGTGTTACGGCGCGGGTTTTCAGTCCAGTATGGGGAGCCCTGGGGTAGGGGGGTGGGGGATTGGGGGAGCCGTTGGGGCCGGCAGTGAGCATCCTGGGGATGTGGCCTGGCCCATGGGCAGGGCCAGCCGGGGAGGCTGGGCCACAGGATCCTGGCCCGGGGCTGCAGTCAGGGCATGCCCCAGTCCAGCCCAGTCCAGTCCTGGATGCTGTTCCAGGCAAGGCAACAGGTCATTTGCTGTCTCCTTTGACCTCACCTGCTCTGGGCCTCAGCTTCTCATCTGTGACATGGGGACAATCCCTGGACCTACCTTAAAGGCTATGTATAAGAATTATCATGGAGCACCTACCATGTGCTGGCCCTGGTCCAGGCTCTGGTGATCCAGTGAGCAGCACACTGTCCTCGTCTCTTGGTGTTTATATTTCAGTGGGCAGGGATAGATAACAAATACGAAGATGGGGTGGTGACACCTACCCCCAAGACAGCAACGGGGTACTGCCTGGGCAGTGTGCTTAGAGGAGGCCTCCCTGAGGAGGGGCGACGTGAGCTCAGACCTGGTGAGGTCAAAGGTTCCGTTTGCAGAGGGAAAAGCCTATGCAAAGGCCCTGAGGTAGGAAAGAGCTGCTCAGTTGGCTCAAGAATCAGAAAGAAAGCTGGAGGCCAGAGCATAGCTGCTGAGGGGAGGGCAGCTGAGATAGGGTCACAGAGATGAGTAGAGGTTGCCATGACCTACTTTACATTGGAACAAGGTCCCTCTGGCTGCCACGTGGAATGTGGCCTGTCGGGAGCCATGGTGGATGTGGGTGACCAGGGAAGAGCCCGTTGCAGAATGCAGAAGGTGGTAACTCGGTCTCTGAGTTTTACCAGTGGCTGGATTCCTGATAGCAGTCGGGCTTGGTGATGAGACTAGTTGTGACTTATCCTGAACGGCCAGGGGCAAGAAGCTGGGCAATGGGGAGCCCACCATGATAGGGCAGGAGAGTCAAAGAGACTCAGCAATGATGGGGGATCCCTGGCTTGTCACTTGTCTGGGGCAGGCCCTGAATCTGTGCCACTAGCGAAGGAGACCCAAGCAAGCCAGGTGCCTGGAGCTGGGGTGTGTCCAGACAGGTCATGTTCAGTGCTAAGCCCACTGCAGGGAGAGTGGGGTCTGATCGGTGGCCTGCTGCAGCGGGGAGTAACCTGGACATGCAACCAGACAGACAGAGCCTGCGGTTGGTGGAGTTGTCTGCATCCACCAACACGAAAAGCCAAAATCCGGTAGATAGAGCTAGGACCAAACTGGTTCCTGGGACTTGTTGGCAAAAGCCAGAGCCTGGAAAGTCACCCGCATGGAGCCCGAGGAAGGTAGATGTAGGAAGGGGAATCACTGTGGAAGTGATATGTCGACAAGGGCATGTCAAAGTCACAGCAGCTGATAGGGTTCGAGATGTCATGTATGTAAAAAGATAATTAAAGATATAGTCTATGGGGTAAAGAGTAAGTTGTAAGATGTCAGAAAAACCTGGTGAATTTTGGATCCATCCGCTTTGGTCAGAAGAAGCCGGAAGGAGAGAGAGAGAAGGGTCCAGGGGACAAGATGAAGGCCGGGTCAACTCTCAGAGCCCCAACAGCAAGTGGAGAGTGCAGGTGGCAATCCCGGGTGGTGGTATTTCTTCAACACCCAAACCAGCTCCACTAACCGCTGCTCGGTATATACTGCTGGTGTTCACCCTTCATGAAAAAATTAAAAAGCGTTTCCAGAAAGTTCCTCCAAAATGAGTTATTGAAAGAAATGAAACCCAGAGTAGTGTGCAGGAAGGCTTCCAGAGCTCCTGGTAGAGTGGGAGCAGGACTGTGGTGATCAAGCAACCTTCCCAGCCATCCCACTGCGCTCACTGGGACTTCCCTCCTTCATGTGCGTGCCACGATCACCAGAGTTTCCATGTCTGGGTAATAAAATGAAGAGCCCGCACTTACAAAGCACTGACCCAAAAAAGCTGTGTTTTATACCACACACGTAATCTTGCATTTAATCATCTAAACCACTCCATGCACTAGACACTGCCATTAGCAACAACCATAATACCGAGGAAACCAAGGCACAGAGAGGTTGAGGAATCTCCCCAAAGTCACACAGCCAGTGAGTGGTGAAAGCAGTGTTTGAAAACCTGACTGCAGAGTCTTTTCTTAACCACCCCACTGAGTGCGTTGTCCCTCATGTGCCAACTAAAATGCTATTTGCTTATTACCTATCCACATCAGCCCGGTCCTAATCAAAAACATGCCTAAAAATCAGAGTTGAGTCACTTGCAATATTTTTTCTAATGCTCATTGGTATAAATATATAACTGTTAATATTTTAAAAGTTAAGCCGTGTATCAACTAAAATTGTTTTGAATACTGTATTAGTTTCCTAAGGCTGCTATAACAAAGTACCACAATCTGATTGGGTCAAACAACAGAAATTTATTGCCTCACAGTTCTGGAAGCTAGAAGTCTAAGACCAAGGTGTCATGTTCCTTCTGAAGTCTCTAGAGAAGTATTTGTACCAGGCTTCTCTCCCAGCTTCTGGTAGTTCCTTGACTTGTAGCAACTGACTCCAACCTTCACATGGTGCTCTCCTGTCTGCACATCTGTCTGTGTGTCCAAATTTCCCCTTTGTATAAGGACACCCTATTAGATGTCATGAGATGAAGGCCCACCCTAATGACCTCATCTTAACCCCATCATCTGCAAATACCCTATTTCTAAATAAGTGCACACTGACAGAGCCTAGGGGTTAGGACTTCAGCTTCTTTTATGGGTCACAATTCAACCCATAACACATACCTTCGTATGTGTAAAGTAGAGCTTAGTTAATTTATAATCGGCCATTCTCCAGAAAGTTCCGGCATGTTCTAACATTACATGCAGCATGTGGTATGAGACTGACAAATACATGAGGAAATGAGAGTGAAGAGAAGACTAGAGGACAAAAAATAGGAGGAAGCCAGGGGGTGAACAAACGGGTACATGGGGGAGTTCAGTAGTGACTCTGAGCTTCCTGGCCACCCTGGCAGGGGGGAACATGCATTCATATAAAAAAAATGCATGTCACTGGGTCCCTCTGATAAAAATCAGATTGCCAGCTATCCCTAGTTCTTGGTTCTTAGAGCAATTTGTCCCATCAGCTCCCCTCAAGAGGACACCGTCTGAGGTCCTGGAATCTTCATTTTGAACATTTTGTATTGCTCTCAAATATTCTTGGCCCCTACATAAGCTAAATTTGAAGAAAGTTGGAAACCATGGCATCGTCACCACCCTCGTACTGGGACTATGGTGGAGCCACTTTTCACACAGGGATTAGGTTCTAAAGGTCAGAAAAAGTGCAGGCAGTGGCCAAAGAAACCTTTGGAAATCCCTCAAACTGATGATGAAGGGCAGCATATATGTGTAGATACGGCTCTGCATAGACCACCCCATACAGACCTATCATCTTTATTTTTTTTTTTTTAAAGATTTTATTTATTTATTTGACAGAGAGATAGACAGAAGAGCACAAGCAGAGGGAGTGGCAGAGGGAGAGGGAGAAGCAGGCTCTGCACTGAGCAGGGAACCCGATGCGGGACTCGATCCCAGGACCCTGAGAT